TATATATATATATATATATATATTATATATATATAGATATAGATAGATTTATAATATATATATATAGATATATATATATATATTTATATTATATATATATTATATATATATTATATATATATATATATATAATTTCAAAATAGTTATAAAACTTAATTATAGTTACTATAGTTAAATATTTATTTATGGTTAAAATATAAATAGAATATAATTATATTTTATATTTCTTAAAGAATAATATCTTTGTTACAAAAATTATGGTTAATATATATATTCAATATGCTTATAAAATATTTAATATATATATATATATATATATATATATATATATATATATATATATATATATATATATATATATATATATATATATATATATATATATATATATATATATATATATATATATATATATATAATTTCAAAATAGTTATAAAATTTAATTATAATTACTATAGTTAAATATTAATTTATGGTTAAAACATAAATAGAATATAATTATTTATGGTTAATATATTTATTTATGGTTAATAATAAGATAATGATTGTATAAATGTGCATTATGGAATATTATCGGTATGGTCGTAGTTGGATGTACGATAGATTGTATTCAGGAAGACGTGCACTTAAACGCCATTTTATAGAAAGAGTTAATGAGTTTATCACGTGGGCGTTTGCTTAGGAATGTTGTCGAAGCGAAGGAGGAGTTAGGTGTCCCTGTCTTAAATGTGAATGTAGACCAATAATTAGTGACCCGGAGGAAGTAACACGTCATTTGCATAAAAGGGATTTCATTGAAAATTATTGGGTTTGGACGTATAATGGTGAAGAAATGCCGAGTAACGTACCAGAGACTAGCAACACATATGCTTCAAGTAGTCGACCGCCTATGGAATTTGAGGAAAAGTTTAATCTGATCGGTGAAATGGTTGAGGATGCTTTTGGTGTGAATGTGACATATGATCAACCTAAAGATTTTGACGGGGAAGAGTTGTTGAATGAGAAAGCGCATATATTTTATCAATTGTTGAATGAGATGAATACGCCATTGTTCGAGGGGTCACCAGACTCAAAGTTATCAATGTGTGTGATATTATTGGCCGCCAAGTCAAATTGGAATGTTTTCTGATCAGTGTTTGGAACATTTCACAAAAATGATGTTGGACTCCACCGCAATGAAAGACAACTTGCCTACAAGTTTTTATGATGCAAAGAAGTGGGTGTCAAAGTTGGGTTTAAAAGTAAGAAAGATTGATTGTTGCGTTAGTGGTTGCATGTTGTTTTATGATGATGAGTTTGGTACTCAAGATGGATTGTTGGAGGAATACAAGTTTTGTAAGAGTCCAAGATATCAAGTTCGCAGTAGAGCCATTAACAGGAAACAAAAGCGTATAGAAGTAAAGTCCATGTTTTATCTTCCGATAATACCAAGTTTAAAAAGAATGTTTGCTTCAATGCACAATGCAAGTCAAATGATATGACATCATAAAAACCGAACAAGTTCAGGCACTATGCGACATCCATCTGATGGCGAGGCATGGAAGCACTTTGATCGGACACATCCTGATTTTGCCACAAAACCTAGAAATGTCAGGCTTGGATTATGCTCTGATGGTTTTGCCCCATATGTGCTAGCGTCGGGAAGTGCGTATTCTTGTTGGCCAGTTATTATAACTCCTTACAACCTCCCTCTTGAGATGTGCATGACAAAATCATACATGTTTTTAACGTGCGTCATTCCAGGGCCTTCCAGTCCAAAAGCCGGAGTCGATGTGTACTTACAACCTTTAATTGATGATTTGAAGAGGTTGTGGATTGGAGAATAGACTTATGATATATCCTGTAAACAAAACATTACTTTGCAAGCTGCCTTGATGTGGACCATTAATGACTTTCCAGCATGTGGCATGTTGTCTGGTTGGGGTACACATGGCAAAATGAGTTGCCCGCATTGCATGGCATATACTAAAGCGTTTACGTTAGATAAAGGGGGGAAAAGCTCGTGGTTTGATTGTCACCTCAGATTCCTATCAACAAATCATCCCTACAGAAGAAATAAGACAAATTTTAAAAAAGACGAATGAGTAACAGATCTACCTCTGCCTCGATTGTCACCAGGTGATATATGGAATCAAGTTTGTGAACTACCAAAATTTACAGCTACTGGCAAAGTATGTAGAATTGAAGGATATGGAGTCACACACAATTGGACAAAAAAAAGTATATTTTGGGACCTCCCGTATTGGAAAGATAATTTGTTGCGCCATAATCTTGATGTTATGGATATTGAGAAGAATTTTTTTGATAATGTATTTAACACATTGATGGATGTTAAAGACAAAACAAAAGATAATGAGAAGGCTAGACAAGACATGAAAATTTGGTGTAACCGGAAAGAGTTAGAGTTGAAACCTCAACCGAATGGAAAATTATTAAAACCCAAGGCTTGTTTTAGTCTGACTACCCAAGAAGCTCAAGCGGTTTGTCGGTGGTTAAAAGATTTGAGAATGTCAGATGGGTATTCTTCAAATTTAGCAAGGTGTGCCGACGCTAACACTGAGAAGTTGCATGGTATGAAAAGTCATGATTGCCATATTTTTATGGAACAATTTCTACCAATTGCGTTTGGTTCATTACCCAAACATGTGCTTAATCCACTAACTGAAATTAGTCAATTTTTTAGAGATATTTGTGCGTCATCTTTAAGAGTAGGTGACATTATTAAGTTGGACCAAAACATTCCACTCATTCTCTGTAAGTTGGAACGAGTATTTCCTCCTGGTTTTTTTGACTCCACGGAGCATCTACCTGTGCATCTTGCATATGAAGCTTATCTTGGTGGACCTGTTTAATATAGGTGGATGTATCAGTTTGAAAGGTTCATGGGTGATTCAAAGCGATCCGTGAAAAATAAATCTAGAGTTGAAGGATCTATATGTGCACATTACTTGCATAGGGAAACATCACATTTTCGCAACCATTATTTCAATCACTTGATGTTAACTCCTAGAATCATATGGAATCCTGTAAATATCAACGAGAGGAGTCAATTCACCTTATCAGT